CAAACCCACTGCCTGTAATGTAAGCATGTGCCTAGGCGCAGGCAGCTAGCGATCCCTGCTTCCTCGTGCTTCCCTGTTAGACAAACTGCCCTGCACTGTTAGTGAATCACGAGTACTTGTGAGTGTTATTAATTATTAGCGGTTAACATAGATCTACGCGCATCGCGATACCTGCACATAAAAGTGATATTAAAATGCTGCTGTGAATCACACCCGCGCAAACATAGTAACCTCAAACAAAAACCAACAACCTTCTCAATCATGCACTTAGTTCTAACGCGGCCAATTAAGTTCCTTCTACATAAATCTGAGGATATTCCAACAAAAAATTGCGTCACTACGACGCAGTGCGCAACGTTAAACCCAATATTTTAATTGCAATAAATAATCTATCCGCTTCTCGGATCACTGATAACGGATATAGACGCTGCTTGCCACACGGCCTGCATTTTTCAACGACCGGAATTCCAATTTAAATTTCATGAAAATTAATGCACCTGTCAACTTCCAGTATAAATTCACGATGAAACACAAACACACGCACTCCCACACGCACGCACACGCGCGCGCGCGCGCACTCACTCACACACGCAGTCACGTACGCATAGACCAGATGGATCAACACCACGCCCACCGCACCACGCACTCTGCACACGCTCAACACAAATATAGGAATTTCCCAGACGAAAGATAAAAGCGGTAACAAGTATATTGGATTTATACTTTTAAATTCAATATTTTGTCAACATTACATAAGCGCTCTACACGTACGACTCTTTAATACTCAATAAGATGCTCGATCCAGTGTTCTCCCCCCCGCAAACACGCGCTCGGCTGGCTGCCATCGTCATTATATGGCCACGCTAATACTTAAATACGCAACGCTGCTCTCTGGCGGAGAAACAGCAGGTAGGAATTACACCCCGAGTTCATTACGAATAATACACTCTCCCGAACAATCTAATGAAATCGAAGAATAACACGCGAGACACGGCGACGAATTAAAAGCTGGGTGTGAAAACGGGAAGGAAGGAATCTCTCGCGCGTCGCACGCACAGGAATCCCCGCGCACTACGGACTTATAGCTACTATCTAGACGAATCCTCTTCGCTTTACATCGGCCACACACACACACGCGTTACAAAGCAAGCTGGCAGTGAATGAATAGTCGGGTCGGTCGGCCAGTGCGACACGTATATGCGTAATGGATAAGTACACAACGCCCCCCCCCCACCAAAACAGATTCTGACAGCATCGATTTCCTAGCGCCTCCGCCTCCGCCACCACCACGCCCAAACACGTTTTCACAGCTTCCTGCGCGCGCGCGCGATATCTCTCGGACGCATTTGAAGCGGACATGATCGCAACGTGCGGTATCGTCGTGGTTCCCGTTACTCCTCACACATCTGGCCGCTATAATCGCAATCTTAATTACCCGAACTTAAGAAGTAACGCCACTTCCAGCGTGAGAATAACAGAACCGCCGCCGCTGCTGCTGTTGCTGCTGGTGATGTTGCTGCTGCTGCTACTGCTGTTGTTGTTGTTGTTGTTGTTGTTGCTGCTGCTGCTGGTGCTGGTGCTGGTGCTGCTGCTGCTGCTGCTGCTGC